CGTAAACATATTTTTAATTAAATTTAAAAATATGTTTACGTATTTTTTCTATATCTTTAAATTTTCTATATCTTTAATTGCATCACAAGTGAGTCTCGATGTTCTATTATATGACATAGATTTTCTATCAGTCGTATTAAATAGATAGATAATTATTATATATATGTTTTGGTTGATCAGACTTTTTAGCTTTTTATTAAATAATTTAAAATAATTTTTTATAGATAACTTTAAAAACAAAATTCTGATAACATTCAATTATTCAACAAAGAAATGCATAAGAACAAAGATAATCATTTTCCATAGTTCTTTGAGTGCTAAATATGGTTCCAAAATGGTATACCAAAATATGACACCCAGAGAAATGTTTCTTTGATTTAAAGAAATGTTTGATAAATGTTCTCCTTCTACACAGAGCCCTAAATGATCTCCGAGTGATCTTGACCTGACTTTGACTTTCAAGGAGATCAAGGTCATTGACCTTTTTCGCTTACTATTCATCGCTTACTATTCATAAAAATGTTATGAACAAAAGAAAAAATAATCTTTATGAATGGATTTTTGAACATAAAGTACATATTTCAGCATTATTTCTTCTAAGCAGGGGGGGGAGAGATGGGGAGCAGACTCTGCTTTTTTGTGGAAAGTCCCTTTTCTAGGGGTGTTTGAGAAGAGGAGAGAGGAGAAATTGCGATTTTCCATATTTTACTTATGTTATAGCGCATGTCTCTGTTTAAGTTATTTGTTTCTGTATTTCTACAGTTTCCTTGTACTTCCTTGGAAAATATGATGCCATTGTAGCTAGTTGTTTTGCCAAATAGTATTTGGTGCTCTGACTCAATGCTGTGTTCTGCTGATTGTGTGACATATTTCAATCTGACATCTCGTTGATGTTCCTTCATGTACACACATTGATTATTTTCCCAGTTTCACCGATGTATAGATACTTTCCCGCAAGAGCAAAATATTTTATGTACTCCTGCACTTAGTGAAGGCCTTCGTTCTTTAGGATTTCTCAAGATTTCTCTGATCTTTCTTGAGAACTTGAAAATGGATCGAATATGAAGTACCCGTAAAAGCCTCAAAAGTATTATAGTTACAGTGATCATTAAACAAATATATTAGATTTAAACTTCAATCCCTGTAAAAAGAATAAGAGAGATATAAATTATACATAATAAAATATTTTCTATTTTAAAATATACAAAACTTATATGAAAAAATAATTTGTGTTTTTAAAACAGAGAATGTTTCAGCGGAACAGGATCATGTCCTAAAGTTACGTTTTATTAATGAATATTATTTTGTTAATAATTTTTTAATTAACAAGCGACGACTAAAATCTCTTGAAAGTCACTCTGGGTCGTGACATTGACAACATATGGTCAAAGTCCAGATCATTAGGAATTGTTCTCTTTTTCTTCATTTTTATCAAAACACAAAAAAACTTTTATTGTATGTATACTTTTATATTTTTATAACGTTTCTAATATCTTATCCAACTTGTTGCTTTCGCGATTCCATTCTTTCTTCATTTATTCTTTATTCTTTCTTTTTTCTATTTTTTTCTTTTGCTTTTGCACGATTATCTAAATTTGATTTTATTTTGCTAGCAAAAGGCCATGTTTTGTTAAATAGTGTAATCAAATTTTCATTTTTGCAAAACTATACCTACAGTTTTTAAAAATTCAGTTTTAAATTTTGCAATTAAAGGCACGAGATTGTAAATTCTTCTACTTATTTGGTCATGGAGGACTCGAGCAACGATTGTAGCAACCAAACGACTTCAATAACATCGGAAAACAACCAACGTGCGCTATGTATACCAGAAAGTCCACCGCCTCCGTATATCACACCACCAGGAACTATATTGAGAAACATAGCTAATTTATCGACGTCGATGAAACAAATTTGTCCTGTTCGGCTCCGATGCAGCGCACAATATCCTCAGGCCTCCTCTCGCAATCGTCCATCTTCTAATGGTCCATCCTTATTCATGAACGCCGAGACTCTTGATACACATCAGGATTGTATTGCTTCAGGTAGCAATCAAGCGAATCAACAATTTCAAAATCCCTCAAAAGATCGGATTGTACGTGAAGTTGTTGAAGAAGATACTACGATAGCATTGCAAGAGAATAACGAACATGTTTCAGAAGAGGATTATGAAGAGCTCATTAATAAGTAATTTCATGATTTTTATATATATGTATATCATATATATCATAGTAAATAATTTAGGCTGATTCTAAATGTATGAAGATCAAGAAAGAGGGAATACGTGTTATAGACGTTGGGTTCGAGAAAGAGTAAAATCTCCGTTTCCTGCACATTTAGCGATTTGCTCAATTTCTTAATCCTTGAACTCAGCCTTTGTGACGCACTTCCCTCCTCCCTTAAGCCTCCCCACATATACATATACACATTATGTGTGTAACACATAATGGCTTAGAATCGATCTAGCTTATCTATTTATCATATTATTTCTCTAAGGCCGGAATCAGACTACGTATTGAAGAATAATTAAAGATTAAAAGATTGAAGTTTTCAATCAGAACAAAAGGAACTAAAATTTCTTTGTCCTCGTTGGTGAAATTTCAATCTTTAATCTTTAATCTCAATTTTCAATGCATAGTTTGATTCCGGCCTAATTGTTGCTCATATTAAATTATTTAATTAAAGGGCTGATAGTTTGGATGGAAGGAATACTAGTTGCTCCTGCGAGGGCGCGTGTAGCTGTGCTATTAGTTGCTCCAACTTACAAGATCTTTTAGTTGATAATCCATCAACTTCTATGAGAAGCGAAAATTATCAGATATCGGAATCAGAACGCAATCAAATACCAATCGTGCCTTCTTTCGTGAGGAAAATCGAGGAACATCAAGAAGAAGATCTTTTTGTTTCGAAAAATGCTGTTGTTAAAGGTTCCAAATTGACAAAACCATTTTATCATAGCACCAATTTAACAGTCACTTTGTCGCCTTGTAACACTTTGCATTGTTCCTCCAAAAAGTTCTCCTATGATAACTGTGTTAATAAGATTTCAACGATTAACAATTGTTGTAACAAGCTGCAAGACAATTTTGAGATTGCGTCGGAAACAGCCAGCAGTATCGGACATATTAGTCCTAGAACAAGAGCAAACACGCCGAATGATACACCAAAGCGCATGTCTTGCATTACTCAAAATCATCGATTATATCATAATGATCGTCGACACTCCAGCTGCGATGTGGACAATTTGTATGAAGGCATTAAGATCCTCGACTCGTATTTAGCACGAAGAAGCTCTAACATCAAACATGAACACCGACATTCGATCACCGTGATACTATTCGGCACACCAAAACATGGATCCACGAGCAGTCTAATTGCATCATCGGAACAAACAAGAAGAGAAAGATACATATCCGCTCGTACTTGGCGCTCCAACGAAGATGTCCCATCAAATTAATTCATTCTCGGTTAACGAAGCTGATTAATGATAGCAAAGTAAGCATCTGCATTATTATATTAACATAAATAAGTATATTATATTAACATAAATAAGTTAAAAGTCCATACTTTTGAGATGTTATGTTGATTTTTTTTGTTAATCGTAGAAAATTATACAAATTTCAAAATTTTAAATATCTTAAATACATTCTTATTCAAAGCTGATCATGCCTTTGAATAAAAATTGAACAAAAGCAGTCTTTAGTAGAGAGTTTATCCTGTAAAATCCTTTTTTTAATCTTTCTTTACATTAATTATTCGCTGAATAATTACAATTTAAAAATGAGCAAAAAATTTACTGAGAAAAAATGATCCCCTAATTTTTTTGAACAGTGTAATTTTACAGAAAAATATTATTAAGCACAAAAGTCAGCTTTGATTAAATAAGGCTTTTTTCGCTCATTTGTGTTATTTACATATTGGTCGATTTTTATTTATTGCAATTGTAATTAATTTTTCTTTTACAAACAGAAGAATCGAAGAAAATAAATTATTGATCTACATGTTGAAATTTACTACAAATTAATTTACAAAAACTTTCACTGATAATGAATTAAAAATGAAAAAAATCGGAAATAATTTTTGACAATGTTAATCAATTACAGTAAAAAATTACTTCAAACTACCGGCCTAAGTGTTTTTTATAAATTCTTGAACTCTGAAACGATGTTACAATCCAAAAAATTCCAGCGTAATCAGATTTCTTCAAAATAATTGAAATTTAATGTCAAAAGAATATGACTATTTTAATGATATTTAACATTCTTTTGAAAAAAAGATTAACATTCTTGCACATCTTTTGCAAATTTTCAGTAATTAGTAATTCACTTTTTCATTAAACTCAGCAAAAATGAGCACCTGACAACATAGACCCCAAAACTGACACAATAGGCAGTAATGTCACATATTATCTATAAATGCGTTTATAGCGCAATTTATCACGATTGCTTTTAACTCCGATAGAACTATTTGATACTAACGCAACACGATAAAAATTAAGTTAGCTTATGATCTATCTTACAAACAGATATGCCAGTTTATGCTGCATCCCTATTTATATTTGAAACCCCCCCTCCCTATTTATATTTCATATTTTTCATAAAAATATGAAAAAGAAAAATATATAAATGAAAACTAATTTAGGATAAATGAAACTAATTTAGGATAAATGAAAACAATTTAGGAAACTACAAGCACGTAAAACAATATAATATCATCAATAATATAGCTACTATTATTTAAACTGCGCAAGTTACAAAAGAAAATAACTATTTTGTTTTCACATTTGTAAGAATTCATTTTTAGTTAATTATAGATACAAGATACAAGTATATAAATTATGGACTTTTATTAATTATCTCAAGATTGTTTTTATCAGTAATTAACAAAATATGATAATTTCCAAGAAATAAGAGGATGACTTTTTAGGAAATGTCAGAATGCCGTTAACTTTCCTGTATAAATTTAATTGTTTAATTAAAAAACAAATGAAGAAGAACTTAAAAAACACACATTATTATAATTTATCAAGTTAATTTATCCATGATCGACGCGATTTAAAAAATTTTTGATTTTACATATATCAGTTTAATCGAAAATAACAAAAAAATTACATTGCTTATACAAAAATTAATTAACATTTAAAAAAGTAGAAAAAATTTATGTACACACACACACACGCGCGCGCGCGCGCGCGCACACACACACACACACACACACACACACACAGAGAGACTGATAATTGGATACTGCAATGATGATTGTTAATTGTTAGTAATGAATCACGCTATATCAGATTGAACTCTATGAAATTTTATTTTCAGAAGAAAAAATGAAAAGAGCGAAGCAAGAAATGCTTCTATATAATACGACGATAATAATAATTTAATGATTATAGAAAACGCTATTCTTAAAGGCGTATACGCAAATATTTACAAATAATTTTTGAGTTAATAATTTCATTCGTATCTACTCAGATAATTGTCAAATAACTTACGATAGCGAAGTTAGCGTTTGTTTTTGACACTGGAATCTTGTAAGAACGTACGCTCGAAGAATGTGATGCTTATCTAAATACTTAACTAGATTCTATTTCTGCCATTTAAGGAATATTGTTTAATTTGCTTGGCTAATACTCGACGGAGATCCCATAGAGACAATCTCCAAATAATCCCGAAATGCTCTCGTTAATTACATTTTTTAATTAGATTAAGACTTATGTTCTTATACTGCTTTAGAATAAAGCGTACATAACGTCGTAGTAAAATATAGTCAAATATTTTATTGGCCTTTATTTTCAGCTTACACGTAAAATTCCATTCTTAAACGCGAGAACGACTCTTATACTTTGTAAAGAAATAGATTATCTTAATCTTCATAAAAGACTCCGAAGAATAAATCACAGGAATAAGAGAATCCAAGCAAGAAACGTCTACTTGTATAAATTTCTCACATTTGCAGATTTTAATTATAGGATTAATCATTTTCCCATATGTGAAAACACATGTTGTTTTAAAAGTTTAACTATTCATCTTTAATATTAAGGAGGATGATTGTTATAAAACAAATAAAACGGATAATTGTTGAAATATGTAGTATAAAATTATCAAAACTACTAAAAATATTATATTAATCATGAACTATTTACCGCATAGTTGACAAATATGCAGTATTTTTATTATTATTCGGATTAAAAGCGACTTTTATATTGTATGTTCCATTTTGATAAACAACTATTACATATATAACTGTTTATTCAATTTCACACTGAAGGTGACGCAAGAGTTGAAATGTCTGTAAAGAATTTTTTGTCTCAGATATATGGATTCTATATGCGATTAACTTATATTGGCTCACATTGGCTTGGATTCTTATTTCTGTAAATTATATCTTAGGCCTCCAAAGAATATTTTAGAAATAAATCTTTTGATAAATTTGCAATTTTGCGAAACTGAAAAGTTTGACAAATTTCTCTCAATATTTCTGTTGAGAAAAAAATTTCCAAAAAACTTGTCTCTAAGATATTATTTGGTAGGTCTAAAATGTTATAAATTTATTAGTCCGGCTTTCTCATTCTCATTATCACGCAAACATAATATTTTGGTTCCCATTTATGCATTCGCATAAACTGTAATGTATATAAAATAACATAATCTATGACGATCATATCGGTGTAGGAAATAAAAAGAAAAGTTTGTTTTAATCATAAACCTTGTAAGTATTATGGACTGATCAGTGCCTATTTTAGTTTTTGAAGGAGTGCCAACACCAGAGTTCTAATACCTGATCTGATTTTAACATTTTGATTTTTATCCTAAATACAACTAAATATTAAAAAATCTAGATTTTATAAAATAGTCACGAGTTTTTCACGCAGCTTCTCGGACTATATACAAGAATCACTTGAGACAGAATATAAGGATCGCAGCAGATCGCCTGTGAGCGAGCTTCAACATTAGGATTCACGGTGAAAACACATGAAATGTGTTCTTCATAGTACAATTTTATTTAAAAAGTAGTTCACGAATTATACTTGAAATTTCTGGAAAAATAAAAATTTTGAGGAAATGATATGAAATGATATGAAACATTCTTGAAATATATAACGATATATAAATGGAATTTTTAATATTTGAATGTTGCTTTTACATTTCATAAATATTTCAAAAATATTTAGTGTTGGTTGTGTAGAGTCCTTTGAAAATGTAAAATGGAAATAATTAAAAAATATGAAACTAAATGAAACTAAAATCTTATCTGAAGAGATAATCTTAATGAAATATCGAATGTATAATAAATATATTAAGCATGCGCGAAACGTATTCCGACAGCACAAAACTTGCAGCAATATTGCTGCAACTTTTACTGTTAGGAATATTTTCAGGCATTTTTAGAAAGAGAAATATAGATACGATTTTGCTTGTATTGTTAGTCCATACATATTATAAGGTCTACGATTTCAAATCTAGCACAGAACATATTTGGCACTTGTAAGACAGGCACACGCATTACTTATAAACTACGACTAATGTGCCTTGTGATACATATTCATAAGAAAAGACGAGCATCATACGTCATTGCAACGTTACCACGAAAGTATATTCGATTCTCTCTTCGTTCTTTAGATACGTTTTTATGTCTTTCACTTACTTATATCGCACTTCATGCAGTTTTAATGTACATCGATTCAAACGAACATTGTGTCGTACATTCGCAATAAATCGTGGTGCAACAATGCATGGAAAAAAATTATTCCGTATGATGAACACCCTCTGATAAGATATGTACGATAACTTTACTATTAATGTACGAAATTACCAAGTATCAAATTTAACTTTTTTTCACACAATACTCGTTCTCTCATAATTATATTATATCTTCGTTGTTAAACTACACATACATGTAATAGTGGAAAGTGGAAATACAAATATCAGCTAACTGTCAAAAATTTATCTAGAATTGCATATATAACATTTTAAATATCTTTAGTAGCATACTTTTTTATAAATTTAAACGTATGCAACATCATAGTTTCTTGTCACTTAATTTTTGGCACTTAGCTTATATTTAATTTCCATTCGTTAATAATAATTTTACATATTTAGAAAGATCAATGAATTTAACTCATTGATGTTGACTATATATTATCACTTATTATTTAAATGTTAAATTAAGGCTTTAGAAAATTCTAGTCTCAGCTATTCTTGATAAACGAACAAATATCCACACTCAGGTCCCTAATTCCTTGAGATGAGGCAATCAACCTTTGTGTTCGATATGTATGAAACAAATCAGTAGAACTATGCCTCACATATTTTCACAAAAATCGATTCAAGATTACGCAATAGTTATATTTACTAAAGTAATTAAGTTCATCGTGTATGGAAAAAACACGTGTAAAGTACAATTTAACACAAAAATAAAACTTGAAAATTTGTTGCAACACCATCGCAATGCAAATGCATCGCAAGGTTTTACGTTTCAGAAAAGTTATTTAAAGTAACGTCTGAATATTTTTCACATATTTTCAAGGAATAGCGTTTTTTCAAAAGTTAGCTTTCTAACTTAAAAAAGTTAACTTTTTTCGATCGGATTCAACGAAATGTTAATGAAGTACAACAAAATTGTGTAACAATGCGTATAAAGTCAAATTTTGGTGAATTCATGTTTACTTTACACAGTGACAATACTGTTTCATGCCGCGATTTAAACACCTGGCGCTCATGGCGTAAGGATTGATTCTGCTGACTTCGCTATCAGATAGAGTATAATTGCCATCACCGTGATACCTGATGGTTACCTCGAAATTACCGTTCCCGGGAGCTGTCTGAATCATGTAGAAATATGTAATGCTGGACAGATTATCCGTGCCGAAGTCGATCACCTGATCCACTCGGTGCACCTTCTTTAGCTTGAGCTGCGCGCATAGTCGTCGGCCCTTTTTGTCTTTGTAATTTTTTACGATACTCTCAATATGATCCAGGAACTTCTGCACGCCACCGTTGGCGATTCTGTCATTGACGTTAATCGACTTGAAAGCCGTGCAAGTGCACCAATGATAAACCACACCTGCATCTTGACAGCCTCTCTCTCTAGGGACTGGCGCGAAAAGGGACTGGCAGGTGGAACATCCTGGACTGGAATCAGCATCACCACCTCCGATGACGAGAACATCCCGTAGCGTTTCGTAGAGATCGAACGGCGAGGTGAGTCGATTCTGATTCACCGCAAGAGCTCGTTGGGCCTCGGGATTCTTCTGACGGAACCATTCGGGTAACCAGATGTAAATGTACGGTAACCTCTCTTCGTACCAACCGACGAAGGTGTTGCGAAATTCGCCCCAGCGCATACCATGATCGCTCAGGAAGATTATCATCGAGTCGTTCAGTATTCCCTCCTGTTCTAGAAACTCGAATTTCTTCAACACACGAGTGTCCATCGAAGAAATGCCATTCATATTGTCATGACTAATCGTGTTTGTCCAGAAGAATCCGAAATATGGCATGCCGACAAAGGTTTGGGCAAAGTTTACAGCGTAATCGAAGATCCGGTCGAAGCTTAATTTGGGACCAGTACAATATTTCATGTTGAATCTGCAAACAGCACGAACGAAAATTTCATCAATCAGCAAAAAGATTATACTGCTCTTTGGACGATAATAGTTAATTCGTTACCTTTTCTTGATTTTAAGAAGTTTCTCGCTGGCTAGCATATAGGGTCTCAAGTAGTAATCCGTAGGCGGCTCGACAAAGCCAACCTTGAGGTAGTTAAATGTGTTGAGGATAGTCTCGTCCTCACCATAGGCCGTGATGTAGCCAGCATTACGGAAGTTGTGCCAAAGAAAAGGGCAGTTATCGAGTTTGTAAGCCACTGTCGGCTTGCACCGAGAATATGCTTGTTGTGGTGTCTGACCGGTCAAAATCGCCATCAGATTCGGAAACGTATTGTCGCCGATTTTATTATAGCCTTTTAGACCAATCCAGCCAGTCTCGCGCAGATATCTCTCGGTTTTCGGCATAGCTCGATAGAAATTTAGCCGACTGACGCTGTCGATGCCGAGGACGAGCACGCTTAACTTTCTTGAAAAGTTTCCGGGCTGGCTGCCATTGTGATCTATACGTTCGCGTACTTTCTCCGGGTTCAAGATTGCATGAACGTTCTCATATACCGTATTAGTTGACAGCTTCGTGTTCTTCATCTTCGCTTTGGGCTTCGATTTTGCCTTCACCTTGCATGATACGTACGCCACCTCCATTTCGCGCGGAAGCATCACTTGTCCGGTGAAGTTCTCGCACTGCTTGACTCTATTAGGAAGAAAGGATCGGCAAATGTTTTCCAGGAAAAATTCTAATCGTATAGGCCAAATAGCTTGCGACTTCGATCTCTTCAGGTACAATTTTTTTATATTATTTTTTTTTATATCGTGAATAAATAAACAAACTAATTCTTGCCACTTAATTCTTTTTTCAGCAGATTAAATGCACCTGAATGTCTTAAGATGACACTGGAACTTTCAATGCAAAGAGTGACGATGATAAATCTTACGATATCGTAGAGTCGTAGTTGTCCTTCTTGGGCCTATCCACTTTGGGCCTGATTACGGGCGACCAGCAGCAGACAACGTCGCTATGCATGGTTTTTATGGCAGGATCGAGAGAAAGAAATACGCTGCCGTTAAGATCCCTTGAAATTTGCGAAAGGACACGATCGTTCGGACATTTCTCCAATTTTTCCTTCCTCACGAATTTCGCGATGGACGGATCCAAAGGTTTTTTGGACAGCATATGACATTTCGGATTCCATACGAGATAACCATCCACCATGCCTATCGCCAAACATAATTCAATATAATTTCACCTTAGGCTTCAGACTTCAATAATATAGTGCGCATTTTGTTATAACAAATAAGCAACGATTTCACTAAAAATGAAAGTATCTATGTATAATACATCTATGAAAACATTTAAGATATTAAAAATATCGTTGAATGTACATTGACATTCTACGAAAATTTGAAACAAACATCTGTGTTTCGGGTATATACTCAAAAATATACCATATATAAAATATTTACAAATTAATAAAGTAAAGTTCTCATGTCATTGATCGTCTATTTAGTTTACAGCATACTTGATTAAAATAAATGGTTAAGGGATATATATATATATATATAGGTTTATTACTTATTTTATAGGTTTATTAATTTATTTTACTCTTATTTACTTAAGAATTGACGATTAATGACATGAGAACTTTACTTCATTAATTTGTAAATTTTACAAATATCGAAGAGAGAATTTATCGATATCAATTGCTGATATTGATTTTTAAGTACTAAATTTTTCTCTGAATTTTTTATAATAAATTATATTTTTATAATAAATTACATTGCACAAGTGTCATACATAACATAATATAACAAGATTACTGCAGTAGTAATAAATATTAATAGTATCACTACTACAATGAATATTATTAGTTCAGCACTATTGTAATAGCGAAATACAAATAGTATTTACAGTAGTGACAATAGTAGCACTTATTATTGCAGTAGTACTGAATATTAATTAATACTACTATTGGAGCTAATAATAACATATTACTGCAATAGTAACATTACTAAATCTAATAGTATACATACTAGCATTGACAGTATTGTAATAGTATTAAATACTAGTAGTACTACTGATTCAGCAGTGACACTGTTGCGTATCATTAGTAACATTTCGCCGACAACTCTATCAAATGTGTCGTGATTATTTAGATGCATTCAGATTGTATTGCCTTCTACTTTCAGGGACAATAGTTCGAATATATATATGAGGGCGATTATTGTAAGTTCACATTTAATTAACCATTTGATTTTCGATGTTCTTGAGTCATAACGCGTTGAACTCGTAATGAGAGATGGCTACTACAAAGGTGTTTTAAAAAATTAAGTTGTCATTTATAAGAATGAATTTGACCTTCATTTAATCTACTTCCATTTCAAAGTTTAATCTTATTAAGCAAAATATGTCCCCTTCGATACCACATAACATAAAATAGTAAAAATAGAATACCACATACATATCGTAAAAATAAGATTTCAATATCTTGCATTGTCCCGGAGAAATTCAAATGCGTCGATTAAAATGAAACACTATATATAAAAAGTAATATAAAATTTTTGTAGAATATATATAAAAATATTAACATAATATATCATTAAACTTACATCAAACTGCATTAGACAATAAACAGCATAACACACGACAGTTTAATGATATAATAATTATAATATTAAATATTTTATATTAATATTATATAATAATATTATGAAAATGCATGTCAGTATACTCAAATGATGAGGAGGTAAAACAATACAAGGAAATGAGACTCACCTTCAGCGATGTTATACGATTTGAAGGATGGATACTGTAAAACGTCGTATTCGTATTCGTCGTCGGAAACGAGATAAAGGATGATAATGATCAGACACGGTAAAATCAGAACGAGGCCGGACCTTCGGCAGAAGCATTCGGTGAAACGTAACCATTTCGCCTTCCACATTATGCTGTCGTGGTCATGCCTTTCTCAGAGTCACAGGAAATCAAAAGTGTTTCTGCATCATTACGAGTCGCATCGCACTTCTATGAATTTCGTTATATTTCACAATTGATTTACCCTTATGAAGGACATCTCAACTGTTCGCCACTTGTCTCCTAAGTCTCTTGCATAACATCGCCAATTGCATAAACATCCGTCTTTCCGTGAATTATTGTTGTCTTCGTCCTCGGCTTCTTCGTCCTCTTGACAAGAGAAGACGATCATCGAGCAGCCGCCGTACTTTGATTCGATGATGAGCCTTGTTCTGAAATCGAGTGTTGTTAATGTCGTTGCAAAAATAGGATATTATATTTACTTATCAAAGATGATTATTCCTTTGTTCAACGAATATTATATTTTCTTTTGCTTTCAACTTAACTTTAGTAGCGATAATTAAAGAGCTAATGAAAGTGCAACACAGATTATGATGTGTTCAGAATCGTATAAAAACCTTTATTGCATTAATGGCAAGATAACATCTTCAAATTTTTCAAATTGGACGTTTCGATTCACTTTGTAGTCCTTTTCAGCAATAAATTACGAATAATGCAAATTAGTTTGTCAATCCATTGGAATTACAGATTTCCAAATTGAAATGTTGTTTTAACAGAGCTAAAAATCTATCATGAAACTTTCGATATATTAAGGTATTTAATCTTATTATAAATTAATGTGAAATTACATTGTCCGTATATGTTACTTTTAAGTAATCAGATTCTAATTGAATCAAGTTCATCAAATTATCTAATACTATTCTGTGATTGGCTCGATGATTGATTTATATAACATCTTAAGATTGTACTTAAGAAAAATATCTTATTTCACTTTGCAATTTTTATTTTTATTATAGATTTACACAGCCTTAATCGGATTTAATAACATCCATAATTATGAAATTATCCAATCACAACTATTTCTCTAAAAAATAGAATAACTGTGGCCACTTTTCTAGTTACGAATGTTATTAAATTTGATTAAGGATCTCTTTCACTAATTTCGGTTAAAGTTAACCGATAGTTAACTCCTAGTAGTACCAATATTAACATCAGTTCAGTGTATCACATCTTCTCTTCTCTCTTCTTCTTCTATGATAACTATTACACTGCGAGTTAACCGTCTGTTAGCCTTAATTAAAATTGTCGAAAAAAGATTCTAAGAGTGCCGTGTAAGTCAATGTATGAATTTGATTGCGCTTTCCGCTTATTCGTTTATACATGACAAGATAAAAATAATTTATCGAGAGACTGAATGAATATTTACATAATGCAGATGTTACTCAATATACGAGTTAAATATAGGCTTTATTATTATGTATAAAGGCCTAGTCTACATACGGAGTAAGACTGGTATAAAAAGTGAGAGTAAGAAATTGATCAATCACAATCGAATGTAAGAAGAATAATCGTGATTGGATCAATTTCTTACTCTTACTTATTATATCAAGTTTACTCCATATATTGTAGACCAAGCCTAATATTTAGTGTGCTCGAAAGAACAAAAAAATTTTTTTAAATAATTAGAATAAACTAGAAAACTTAAGTAAGAGATTGGAGATCATGATATTTGATTCTATCATATTTTTCAAGACTTGCATAAAATAGAATGATAGATCATGCATAAGAGAAGAATGAATATTATTTTAAATATTAAATTATTGGATAGCAATAATATTGTTTCAAATATCGGATTATCTGAGTAATAAAAATATCATTGTAATTTATAATTTATTCTAGAAATCCTCAAGTAAGAGATCGAACATCGTTTAAACAATTTCTGACTGATTCGCCATATCTTTTAAGATATGCATAAAATAAAATGCATAAAATAAAATGAGATATCCATATGAGATTTCATTTTATCTTATGAAATCATCATTTTATCTTATGAGATAAAAAATTCCCCCTCCCCTCATTTGATTATATTCCATATATAATAAAAATAAAAGGCCTTGAAATGAAGATAACATTCTTTTGATATAATATCATACTTCATAAACAGAGAGCGGATGGTAAGATAAAAGAATAAATCCCCTCTTATCTCCTCGGTAAGAAGCGTAGGTGTATGTATAATTGAATATGGACGTTGAATGATGCGGATTGCACTGCGTGATACACTAGTCGACAAAAGTTAAAATGTAAAACGTGACATTAATCTGTTTTATAGAATCAAGGAACAAAATAGGTTTACGTAGGTAAATAAATGGTCTTGCGTATTTAGCGTATTTTTATAGAACATTGCGAGAAAGTAAAGAAGCTACTAAAATTGGCAGAATACATCAAAATTTAATTCCGCATAATAATATAGAATGATTCTAATTTTCAAGGTATTTCAAGAGGAAAAGTCAATATATTCTGATAACAAGAGATGATAATTACAAGCAAAAATATTCATATGAATATGCGTCCTGTTTTTTTGACAGAAAAATGCAAAAAATATCCTAATTTAAACGACCGTCAGGAAACGAGCAAATATAAGATATTTAAACAAGAATTATTTAACTCTATTTATATAATTAAATAGCATACATAATACATAAATCCATAAATATGTTTTGGCTTCTTCATCAATACAGAGTGAGTTTCTTCATCAATTCATAATTAAACGATAAAAAACTTTACAAAATCTTAACACATTAAAACCTAAAAATATAAACTAATGAAAGGTCAAATTAATAAATCAGACCAAGACAATAAATTATCAAAAGATAAATTTATATCTACAATTAAATTTGTACTATCATCTACTTTATTTTTAATAATGTAATTTATAAACAATCCTATAATACTCCTATGGATTCTTCCGCTAATTATTACAGATATTATTACGCAAGGAAGGAAAGAATTTTAAGTACATTAGAGTTGCCTATCTATTTTCATTATGTCGATAACATCTATCATTGTTTGTTGTTCCCAAGTGAATAATATTCTTGAAAGGTTTGATGGTTACCATGACCGATTAAAATTTACTGAATCTACTATTTTATCGAATTAGAAGAAAATCATTGTTAATTTTCAGAATTCTTCTTCGATTGTCAAAAATAACAAAATTATATGAATTGATGTCACAAAGAAACTTTTCCTGGACATTAATTACCGTTTTTCTTAAATCACCGAAATGCTATAGGAACCAATTTAGAGTGGATCCTTCAATTCTTTTGTCTCATTTTTCGTTTTATAAAAACAAAAGTGAATTGTATATTGATATCTTATTAGACAATAGTTATTTGATTTTATTTTTGACGTCATTAACAGAAAATTAAAACATTTATTTGTTAATAAATTAAAAATATTAAGTAATCAGAGTTCAATAAATGCTTCTTTTCATTGGTCCAATTTTCGTTTTCTAGGAGTTTCTGTTACTCTCCAATTACATTCGATTTACGTCGATTTTTATTTTTAGGATCCTTATTTTAAATTGGTTTCTGACTTAGCAGCGTCAATAATAAATAAATCTACAACCACAGTAGATTTTTGTACTCTTAATAAACTTAATAAATTTATAAAAATAGATAAAACTGAATTTGTTTGCAATAGTTAATTAATCTTAAAAAGAACGGCGATAGTTCATACGTAGGACGAACAAAGAAACAAACGAGATTAAAAGAATGTATTAACAATATAAAGTTAGATCCATCTAATTCATTGTCCGTTATATTTGAATGTATGATAAGGATCACACTTTTGACTGGAAGAATGTTAAAATTTTAGATTTCGAACATAATAATAAAAGACTCATTACATCATAAAAGATCATGGACATAATTAATATAAAACAACAAAAAAGAAACAAACAAAAAATTAATTATATAAATAATAAATAATTAATTGTATAAGACCCGTTGCACTAACGTTACTTTAATTTTAAGTGAGACTTAAAACTCTCTTTCTATCTCGTTTTAGAACCGAAAAGGAACAGAAATAAAGAGAATTTTACTGGGCTTAAATGACGCAGAACGCTGGACGATTCATACTTTGATATCCAACAAAACAATATAATAGATAACCGAAAAGTATTTATCTACTAAACACACTTTCGTAACTTTCAAAATCATATATATTTCGATGTATATAATTCGTCTTTCGCTCAGTTATTGGAACTCACAATAAAAGACTAAATAAAACAAATAAATAAATAAAATAAATAAATAAGACAAATAAAACAGACAGTTTAAATCTTTATTTCCGATACGTTGCCTAAATTTGTTAACATTTTTGTTTATATGATCAATTGTTTCTTTATTATTTAATCTGAATTGTAATTGTTTAGATTAATTAATTTTATACATTTGACAACATACTTTATACATTGAACTAAATGTAATTTTCGCCACCAAACGATAAATTCATTATTGAAATTTTACATTTTTTGATGTTAACTATGTATATTTATCATTGACCACGATATGTTTAAGTATCTTCAATTGCCATATCATATGCGGATGGAGACTATTATCTGGTTTATTAACTCGACCTCTTATTCATATTTTGAGGTTTAAGAAAAAGATATGTTAAAATTTTGTAAGTTCTTTATCATTTATATGTTTAATTTTAAGCTAATAAAGATTCTGTGAGCCAAACTTGTTTATGCATTTATTATGTATTATGTAAGTACGTCGTTATTTTATTAAATAGTCAAATAATTTATTTATTTAAATATTTTACCTGCTCGTCTCTTGGTCGTTTAAATTAAGATATTTTTACTTTGCAAACAAATGAATGTTATCTTATTTCATTTGTTCATTTATTGTAAATTTTCACAAATTTATTATAAACTTTAAAAAGTGTATCACCTGAACAATGAATTATTTGAAAAAGTACATAATATCTTCTTTTTAATAGTAATTTTGCAACTGCACATTTAGTCTCAAAAACCATTCGGAAATGGAGCATGCGTTTATATAAATATTTTTCTCGGAAATCTCAAAAACAGGATATTTGAAAAATGTTCGTATGAACACTTTTAAAATGACAGATAACATCACCTCCTATACAATATTGAACTTTCTAGGACAATTTGCATACAAATTAAAATCGTATTATTTACATACAGATAGCTTTGGATAAATTGATTCTTTTCTTTAAATGAAATTCTTGAATATCATTTAAATTTTTATAAATTAAATTTTTAGAAATGCAAGTAAGTGCAACAGTAATTTGTTCCTGATTTAATTTGATTATCTTTATAATTATTTTCTATTTTAAAGCTTCACAAATTGATATTTATTCAAAGAACAGATGAGAAGAAAATCTTGATTAAAGATTGAGAGAAAGGTTTCCAAAGATTGATATTTTGAAAACTACGGAACTTTTAAATAGCAGCGACGTATTTGGAAGATACACATTGCACATTCATACTCTCGGCACAAAGACGATATCTCGGAACGCAATCGGTGCGCACTTATCTCAACATTCACACGCGCACGAACAGTCATGAGAAACAGCCTCGCGAAGTTCCTTTCAATTACCTCTTGCACCCGCGTGACGTCGTACGAATAGGAAGCAGCAAGTCTTCCGTGTAAGTTCTCCGATTATGTCTGAATGCAGAAGCACAAATCGTCACGTTTATCCCGTTTCGCGTCCTGCAACGCGATTCTGACGTATAGCCACGAAGAGATAATGATACTCGATGTAACAAACTACAGCACGAGATCTCACCCCCGCTCGCGACGAACGAGGGCTACTGCAAAGTTTAATCGAATCGAGCTGGCCGGGCCAACGCGCGCGCGTGCCACCCACGCTGCAACCAGGCAACTCCGTCACTGACTGACGGAGATTTGCGCATACGTCGTCGTCGTCGTCGTCGCCGTCGTCGTCGTCGTCGTCGATGACGACCATCAACGTGTTTTCACTCGTTCGCCGCGCCGGTCTGCGCCTGTCAACCCAATTCGCGATGCGCGCGCCACGCGACTTCTCACCGGAACACAACCTTGCAATTGAGTATTTCCGCTTGCAGATTTTCTAATTTATATAAAATTTATTGGTTTTTTTGAAAAATATTGTGTCAATTATTTTTTTACAAGTTAATATTTATAATTTATAACATTTTCGCTTAATTTTTAATTTAAAGACGCAGTCGCTATCATTTTTAATCGATTTGATTTATGTCAATGGTCTATATATGTATATCGCGAAATCGATATCATTTATATGTAAAAAAATAATTGATACAATATTTAAAAAAAAAAATCAATAAATTTTATATAAATTAGAAAATCTGCAAGTGGAAATAATAAATTAGAAATTAATTTCTAATTTATTATTATTTCTTACTTATATTAATATTTACAACATTTTCGCTTAATTTTTAATGGAAATCTTGGTTACGACAACGATAAGAAAATCTTATCATGAAGCAGCGTTATAATATACCAGCTAATAATCGCGACTGCGAAAAGGAAGCAGTTTTTTATGTGGTTCGAACCAACGAAAGAAACGGAACTTCCCCCGCACCTCAATGGATCACATTGGTGCGTATGTGCGCAAGCGTAAATCAATTCGTGCACAGGATTATCTCCGACGAATTTTGGAATACCCATACTCGAAATAAAGCCCCACTGGGCTCGCAAATTCTTCATCTTTATGTTCGTATTTTGTATTGATATCCTCATATTATGTATTGTACACATGTTCGTGGATTGTACGATCCCTAACATTATCACAGTTATACATATGCAGTTATACATGAAATCTAAGCTAATGTTATCCTAATCATCCATGTTTTATTTAACATGAAGAAGAAAGGTAAAATAACAAAAAGATATACAAAGTCCATTAATTCTCTATTCGCGTCATTAATAATATTAATAGGTACCAGTTAATTTCTGCCGCGAATTTTCGCTGTTAACGGAATGAAAAATGAGATCTCAACTACTTTCGGTCTAATGCGCCCTAATGATCCGGGATTGAAAGTCGGAACGTGGTAAGAAAAAAAGCGAATTATGGCCAAAAGTTAATTAAACTCTAACTTAATTTAACTTCTACAGAAACTGCACACGTAGTGCTTAAAGTATGTATGGCACTTCTGTCGATATGGTATTTCTGTCGATAAGATTAACTCTCAAACACTATACGCAGTGTGATCAATAACTTCTATCATGATTATTTCCAATTTTTTTTTATGAGTTTTTTATATAATATTTAATAATTTAAAACCTTTCTTGAAGGTTCAAAAATACGAAATGGAAAACATGATTTAAAAATTTATAAATATACAAAATTTCTTTTTTCTAAAGAATATTGAAATTTCACTGCTGATTCTAAAAGCCGAAAAATTTAGATTATTATTATTATTATTACGTAATAACAATTTCCAGTGTAGTCTTCAAGTGTCCTTGTTGGATAGAATACGTACCTGCTACAACACGTGCACGTCGTTCTGAGGTATATCGTACGGTTTGTTATCGACGAGTACCAGCGAAGCCAGATACGCAGTCGCAGAATATCCGGGACCAGCATCAACCACAACAACGGCCAACATTTGATTGCATAAAAGCATCGGATGAATCACCGTATAGAATGCTGTCATAATTTTTATATTTTTGAATATTTAAATGATTTATAATTCTATTAATTAAACTAATAGAACTCCTCATAATTAAAATAATGATAAACAAATAAGTTATTCCGGTTAACGCTAAATATTTTTGAAATATATGTAAAATGTTTCTAAAATCCCAACACAATATTCCAAGAATATTCCATAATATTCCGAAATATTTACAGAATGTAAAAACATCAAATAATCGTTAAATGTTCTATTCATCGTTTCATATTCGGAGAATGTTTCCTGTATATTTTACAAAATTATAATTTCCCTTCAGAAAAATTTCAGGTCCGATGAATTAATTTTTAATTTTAAATAAAATTTTACTGTCAGAAACATATTTCATTCACCTTGGAACCCAAGTTCAATTTTGAAGGCTTCTCACAGACCGAATACTGCGCTCTTTGTATTCTTTCTTATGTGATTCTTAAGTGTTAATGCATCTTTACCGCGGGTCTTTGTTAGCGGAGATGCATACTGCTCACGAATAATAATATCACATTAATTGTCACAAACAATTTAATATTGATGGTAATAAAGCATCTTTAAAAACCTGTAAATTTTATTGTAAAAAAATATTAGCTGAGATTCGAATCTGGATCATAGCATCAATAATATTAAATTGTCAACTTAATTTGTAATACTGCTTCGGTTAAAGACTATTCAAGATAGACAAATAATTGGTGCACAGCTTGTATAAACTGGAAATTGTACAGATAAATTCACAAGAAGTATTATTATAAGCATGGAAAATCATTTTAACTTAATATTTTCACATATGTGTACTTAATCAATCAATTTTTATTTAATAATATTAATTTCATTATTTTGTATTTTGTATTATTTTTTATTCGCGGTCAATCAAAGCAATCTTTATGCGTCGATATCAACCATATGTATAGTCCGTTATACATATCGTATCTTTGTTTAATGTATGTTTATGTATGTATCTTTAATTAACCTAGTTGTAGCGGCCTAAACATATGGTGTAAATTAGAGATCCTATAATAAGAGTCACGACTTGAGAAAATCGCGCGATTCATTGATGCATCATTGTTTCAAAAATTCCCGTCTACATTTACTTACTTATTTGCGTTAGTTTTAATATCAATAATAATTAAATATTTTAAAGATGTTAACAAATAAATTTCTTTACATTTACGTGTCGAAATAATGCATGTGAGAAGAATTGTTTAATTTAACAGTTCTTTTTTAACAAAATTATTTTTAAAATTTAAAGATTTAATTGTGTATCTTGAAACGAAGTTAAAATTACGAAAATGAATAAGTTCACTAGAATATTTATAATTTCGTTAGTATCTAATAAATTTATTCATATTCTATAACTTTTACACGTGTCAAGATACACAATATTCTGATACGTAAAAAGTAAAAAAAATAAAATTTGTTTATACATTTATTTTACAAATATATTATGCATCGCTATTGATTTACTATCATATTTTTTACACGTGTACATATACAACGTAAGTACGTGTTCCGTTACTGCAGATTTAGGATTAAGTTAGAGATATATTAAGGTTAGACAGAGATACAATATATTTCTCTCTCTGTTATCGATTTTAAATACAAAAATCGGCTCAAATCGACTCGTGTCGCGACTCTGAGGCTGCGTTCTGTTGAATGCGCATAATGCGCATGATGTAATATAAGTATGATGTAATGTAAGTATAAGATGATGTATTCTTGTTTAACACTCTGGAACAACAAAGGTAAAATAATATCTTTGATGCATTATGTGCAATGGAATGCAGCTTTATTAGAGGGTCTCTATAGTGTAAAGTAGGCCACTGATGTAATGAAACAATTTATAATACAACCTTTGTTGCCGCATTTTTCAATACAAATTATCAATGATCCGCTAACAAAGTTCACACTATTTATGCTTGCTACTATATACTGTAAATGCATTTGTTACTTAAAGGAAATGATTGTTGAGACATTGAAATCAATAAAAATCTCCGAATTTACAGAACGGAATCAAAAATCCTTTGATGGGATTAAAATATTAGACGCAAAATTGAAAGGTGCTACAGTGGACTTTATACTAAAAGCGAAAAAAAAGTTAAAAGCTTTCATTTTTAATTCAACTCGTAGAGTTGTTACCTGATGTGAATGTTTCCTTAATACAAAAGTTTTATAGTTCGTATGAACAGAACGACAGTTTGTTATAATGATACATAGATAATAAAATATATTTTTATATTTTATTAAAATTTATTAAGTTACATTTTATTTCATATTTTGGTACGTACAATATAGATTACAAAATAAATATACGAAACATGTCAGATGTCCTGTCGAAACAGTAACTGACAATAATACAAACTTGTACAAAAGTATTTGTTACAAAAGTATTAGTTGTTAGTCTTATTGCCTCAAAAATTTTATATGATTTATACATTTCTGACATTTATAAAATATTCTTTTAATATCTATTTTAATAAATAAAGTGCTTCGGGAATAAAACCAGGGTTGGCAAATGTCCACTCCTTTTTTGTTTTGTTTCAGCCAATGCCAGTGGTCAAAACTGGTTTTAACCTTTCTCTACCTTAACTCTGAGCTCGGCTAGCTTAAAAAGTATGTTAATAACGTAATGCAGGGAAAAATAAAACTAAATTTTGCTCAAAATCGATTTTGATTAGGGCGATTAAAACCAAGTTAAAAAAACCACACTGTCTGATACTGTTCGTACCAACCCTGATTAAAATGGAAAACGTATCCTTAGTTTGGTGTATCTTGCTGGATAATATTGAATCTGAATATATGCAATATGTTTTACATTTAATTTTGAACTACCTACTCTTTAAATGAATATATATTGGTACTATCAGCCCAGTAAAACACAATGTTACATGTAAACACAATGTTACATGTAACATGCAATGTCACATTTACGCGTTCAACAAGATAACTATAATATAATACACTGTGTTATCTTGTTGAATTAACAATTCGTGTAACATTGTGTTTATTGGGAGTATACATATTTTTAATAACATTTTATTTACGATATTGTGTCTTTTGTGTTAATCATATGATGCGACATATTACTAGCACAGAAATTAAAAATTCAAAACATGAAATTTTTTGTCTTAAAGCGATCTAATGAAAATGTTTCCAACATTTTCATTTATTTGTTAGATATATGA